TCTGGAAATGAACGCTTATTTGGAACCACCAGACAAATTTTCCACAATTTTTTCTTATATCTTCAATATTCTGGAAATGAACGCTTATTTTGGAGCCACCAGACAAATTTTTCTACAATTTTTTCTTATATTCTTCAATATTTCTGGAAATGAACACTTATTTTGTAGCCACCAGACAAATTTTTCTACAATTTTTTCTTATATTCTTCAATATTTCTGGAAATGAACGCTTATTTTGGAGCCACCAGACAAATTTTTCTACAATTTTTTCTTATATTCTTCAATATTTCTGGAAATGAACGCTTATTTTGGAGCCACCAGACAAATTTTTCTACAATTTTCAGTTTGTATTCAGAAAATTTGGCTATTTTTGTTCTAATCTCCTAAAGGAAAGGATTTCGTGAATTTCTGAAAAAAAATTATAGTAATTGTGGTGAAAAGGTTAAATGAATTTTATTGTTTATAAAGAATTGACTTTAAATTTAAATAAGGCATGTCATTTAGATATAACCAACAAATGTCAATTACAGGTGCAGTCAAAGAAAGCTAAGAAAGAACCTTTGTGTGCTGAGAGTATTGAGGACACATTAAAATAAATTCAAAATTTAAGATTAGCGTTCAAACAAGAAGCATGGGTAATTATTATGGATATATATAACCCCAAATACAATATAAAGATTGTTATACTGTCTTAGAGTATTTATCTACCAAGTTTCATTGAAATGGGATAATTAGTACTTGAGATATCTGTGGTAAAGAAAAAAAATTGAGTAATCATTATGCAAATTAGGTAATTCATGAGCGAATCTAGAGGGGGCCGAGAGGGCCGCCCCCCCATTTTTTAACAACCAACAGGGCTTTGCGCCATCGGTGCTCGCGAACTTGGCCTTTGGCCAACTTATCGCCACCCCCCCCACCACCCCCCCCCCCCCCATTCCAGAATCCTAGATCTGCCCCTGTAATTAAAATGGATGTTGTGAATTTATAATATGAATTTATAGTATGTCATACATATCAGTCATGGAAACCTCACTAACTTGTATCTTTAGATAATAGCTGTAGTGACAGAATTCTAATGTTTCAGCACATAATCACACTTTAGAACTTTCAAATAAATGTACAAATCTATTATACAATGTAGGTCTACCCAAAGTACATTCAAGTATCAAAGCAATTAGACTTCATAAAGAAGTCGACAAAGTGAAAAGTTGATAGAGATGCCGACGAACAATCATTCATATAATAAGCTTCGCTCGACAAAGTTGACAGTGGAGCTAAAAAACGACATTGAATAAAAACAGGATAGGTTCACAGTTGGTGTTAGCACTGGGGTGTATGAAAAAGATACAAGATCCACCTCAAAGTGCCCTCTATGGTTCAATTTTCAACCCATAATCCTTTGCAAAATCCAATATGGTAGAAACACATTTCTGTCCTGTAACTAACTAAATATTTTACCATATCAAATTTTGTCTATTCCTCAAAGATTCAAACTACTTCTTTTCGTCTATGTGGTCAATTTAAGCTAAAAATTTTATTCTCAACTTGAACTAAACATGACGATAAGAGATGATCTAACCTGTAGTCCATAGATTTCCAGTAACTCTGTTATGTCCGGCTTCATTTGATGCAATACATGTATAAGCTCCTAGATTTATCTCTTGTACACCGTCTATCTTTATAGTATGATTGCCAAACACATGTACATTATAGTCTGAAAATAACAAATACCAAAGCATTATGTGTAAGAGATCTAACATTTCTTTTTCTAAATATTTTTGTGCCAGGCAATTATAACATTCAAAGTCACTGCTGTCTCTAATTTTTGTCTTAGGTGCTAACTGTGTATGTGGGCAAACCAGATTTGATCTCTATGTGTATAGATGGTAGGGCAGACTGTATCCAAGTACATACTGCTCAGTGAACAGTCAGCTTGATGTGAGGGAAACATACTAAACACTAAGATCCAAACATTTTCTGTAGCACTTGAATCTCAGTTATAAAATACTGTGTTAACTATTATACATACCGGCAATAATGAATTCTCATCCCTGGCAATGGAAATAATTTAAAGGTTTATCTCATTAAATATGGAGCCAATAGGCTTTAAGGATTTAACTTCAATGGTGATTACTTCCTGCTCATGGTTTTTTGCAAGGGCAACAAAATTTTTCTCATTTTTGGTAAAAAGTGAAATTTTTAACTTCTCCTTGGAAACGGCAAGTCCGATTACTTTGCTATATGATATATAGGTAAATTCAAAGCACACAATGGAAAAGGACTCTTTAAGCCCCACTAGTTTTTGTGAATTTAATTGACGCCCATATTAGAAGGTGAGGATTCTATTATAAAGTACAGAAGTTCATCTTCAATCATTTTGGAGATCAGTGAGTAATAGGAATTGATTTATAAAGATATAATATTGTTATACTTACCAACAGAGAGTACTTGGCCATCTTTCTGCCATTCCAATACAGGAGCAGGGAAACCATCAGCTGTACAGTTAATCATAACAGTGCTACCCAGATCAACAATGAGATCCAATGGTCTTAGCATAAATGTTGGTGCAACTGAAAACAATCAAATATTTCATGTAATATTATGATATATACATGTACTATGAAGTAATTATAAGGATATTACAAAGTATGCACTAAGACATTACGATATTTGCAAACAGTATATTGTGATCTTCTCAAAATAACCTATTATTATTATACATCTGTCACTGTAACGCCATAAGTTACAGCGTGTCGTAATTTTGTGGTATTTTACAGGGTATTATCATCCTACCATATAAGGAAATGCAAATTCCAAATATGGAATGATTACGCACGTAAGCATCCTCTAATAATAAAAACAAACATGGCTGCCATCAGGGTTTGACCGGACTCCTTCCTTGGAAGGAAAACCTGTATAATAATAAGGTTATTACGAGGATACCGCAAAGTATGCACTCAGACAGTATGCCATCACATTGCCCTCCGCTGCACGCCGATCGATACTCCCACTGTACCGTTTTTGTGCATACTATGAGGTATCCTCGTAATAACCTCATATTATTATTATTATTTATATATTTTATTATTATTATATATTACACTTCCTTACGTTTAACAAATCACCCAATAAGTTTTCTAGGTGTGAACAAATTAGTTTAAAATTTTGAGAGAATAACTCCCAATCAGGAGACTTTTATTTTATTTTTGTCTGTACAAAAAGCAAAACAAAGATGACTTTTTTAAAACATTAGTACCCCAACATTAAAATGAATGTACAGCCTGTCTCATTGGACTTTTCTACACTTCAAAAACTACCCATACTCAGGTTCTAAAGATAATGTATCGAGCGATTGAGAACCATATTTACATTCGTCTCCCAATTTTAAAATAATCCCCATTTTGTGGAAAGTGTCTTCATATGCTGACCTACCGAGAATAATAATATAGACAGCATGCTGTATTGATCCCATAGTATTTTCAGCTCTACAAACATAGATGCCATCTTGTGTCTTCTCAATATTATGAATTCTCAGATCACCACTGAAGTACACATCGTACTGCGCATTGGTTTCAAGCTGTATCCCGTTGTAAAACCATGACATGGTAGGTTTAGGATTGCCATCTGCTCTGCATTTTAATAGTATACTTGTACCTTCGTTTACACGCTGGTTTTCTTGGCTGTATGTAAACGTTGGCATACCTGTGAATAGTAATGTGTTAAACTGTAAATATGTCGATTATTTAATTTTGTAATATGCACTAAATTAAATCAACATGTACACATGATAACAACAAGCAGCCTGTCAGCTGAGATAGCTGAGATAGCTGGGCTGTTAGCAATGCACATTTCGATTAAAGAACTGAAGATATCATTAGAAAATGAACAAATCTCGGAGAGGTCTACCTGTAATACCAATATATATATATAATATCAAAGCAATTGAACTTGTGCTTTTCAATAAGAATTGAAAAATATCACTTTTTACCAAAAATTACAAAAATATTCATCAAAATTAGAGAATTGAAGACATCATCACAAAATGAACAAATCTAAGAGAAGTTTACCCAAGGTATATATACATCAAGTATCAAAGCAATTATAATTGTAGTTTTCAAGAAGAAGTCGAAAAAGTAACAAGCAGCCTATCGGTTAAAATAGCTTCGCAGTTAACAATGCACATTTCAATTGAAGAACTGAAAATATCATTGGAAAGTGAACAAATCTGAGAGAGGTCTACCTGAGGTACGGTACCTATATGTATAATATCAAATTAATTAGACTTGAAGTTTTTAACAAGAAGTCGAAAATATCACTTTTTACAATCACTAATATGATAAGCACTGCTAGACAAAGTCAACAGTGGAGCTAAAAAGTTGACGCGGACGATGAACAATCACTTATATGTTAAGCTCCACTCGACAAAGTCAACAGCAGAGCTAATAAGACTCATTGTCACATTTTTTAATTAAAATCCGGTCAAAACATAAAAATAGCAAAAATTAATTGTTTTCCAGTAGGATGTTCAATGGGAATGCTTGCAAGTTGTAACTGAGCCATGTACAAATGTAATTGTATTTGATTTTTACAAAAATTGGAGTCATGAAGAGATGAGCTAAGTGCAATGCCGGTGTATCAAGATTAGAAAGCTGTAGCTATGGTTACATGAATATTAAAATCTCATATTTTACAAAGAAGCCTTTTAAAGTTCAATTTTTTCAAAAAGATTGAAACAATTTGCACCCAATCCAAAATGAAAACCTTAGAATAGACAAATTTCCATTCACTGCAAATCCCACGGCCATTGTAGTGACATCAAAACACTGCACAAAATTTGACACATTCGGTGAAAGTCAATTTTGATGAAGTGAAGATATCTCAACCCTGTCTACTTTCCTTTAAGATAAGAATTTGGGCATTGAGCTATACAAAAGTAAAATCAAATTCAAAGCATTTGATTTTTATGGCATATTTTCAAACCGAGTCTTTCACACATTAAGCAAGAGCTTGCAGTGAACAGAAACTAATCTATTAGAAAGCAGTGATACCTTTTCCCTAAATACAATATGGCCAAGTGTAGATTTGGGGACTGCACATGTACAACCTCTAAATCAGCAAATCCTCATAAATAAGTAGAGTATGACAGTAATTGTGTGCTAGCTGTAATGTGTTCATGGTTGTTTACTCGATTCTATCCATTACAGTGAAGTTCATAAACCCGTGATAATATACTTACTGAGACTAGCTGTAATGTGTTCATGGTTGTTTACTCGATTCTATCCATTACAGTGAAGTTCATAAACCCGTGATAATATACTTACTGAGGCTAGCTGTAATGTGTTCATGGTTGTTTACTTGATTCTATTCATTACAGTGAAGTTCATATACCCGTGATAATATACTTACTGAGGCTAGCTGTAATGTGTTCATGGTTGTTTACTTGATTCTATTCATTACAGTGAAGTTCATATACCCGTGATAATATACTTACTGAGGCTAGCTGTAATGTGTTCATGGTTGTTTACTTGATTCTATTCATTACAGTGAAGTTCATATACCCGTGATAATATATTTACTGAGGCTAGCTGTAATGTGTTCATGGTTGTTTACAATGATTCTATCCATTACAGTGAAGTTCATATACCTGTGATAATATACTTACTGAGGCTAGCTGTAATGTGTTCATGGTTGTTTACTTGATTCTATCCATTACAGTGAAGTTCATATACCCGTGATAATATACTTACTGAGGCTAGCTGTAATGTGTTCATGGTTGTTTACTTGATTCTATCCATAACAGTCAAGTTCATATACCCGTGATAATATACTTACTGAGGCTAGCTGTAATGTGTTCATGGTTGTTTACTTGAGTCTATCCATAACAGTGAAGTTCATAAACCCGTGATAATATACTTACTAAGGCTAGCTTTAATGTGTTCATGGTTGTTTACTCGATTCTATCCATTACAGTGAAGTTCATAAACCTGTGATAATATACTTACTGAGTACATCTAGTGTAGCTGTTGTATAGACAGTACCAACGGCATTAGTTGCTGTACATGTATACACCCCAGCATCATTGATATTGGCGTTATTGATGTAAAATATACCATCACTGCTGACTGATATACCATTCATCTCACCACTTGGTACTTCATATACAACTAGTAACAAATAATATCATGTTTTTAGTAACAAACTGAGAATCCTACAATTCATGCTGTGTTATACACTTCTTTTTATGCTTTTCCACTAATTCCTCAATTGTGGTGGTCCACCCACTGTACCCTGCTCTACTAATGCCTAGAATGTATCCTGTGTTCCAGTCACTCGTTACCACTCCAATAATGCCTAGCTACAATTATGCTAGTTACATCCTATTACAGTCAGCTATTGACAGTCCCTTGTAGATTTGATTTGTTGAATGAAAATGCTATTATTGCAAACACTGAATGGCAATCATCTGAGAACATGAGACTATTAAGAATTTCTCAATTACAGAGAATTTGTTTAGAAATTAAACTTGTCAATGAAGATTGAGTATTTTATTTTTCAAGATAAATTAGACTTTCCATGTCATGTGTGACATTTGTATCAATCTAAATGTTAGTCTGACATGTAGGCGTGAGTGGCGCCCTCGTCGGCCAAACAGCATCAGACCCTACTAACGCCAGATAGAATAGTGTATGTCTCGTCGGCAAGATCAATACTGAGAATTCGCAAAGTTCATGCCTTCTTGCAATGAGTTCCAATAATATTTATTTTGGTGGTCATGGTAACACCATCAATCAAAGCCGTGTTTGCATTGTCGGCAAAAATCACAGACCGTTTTTAACAAGATCATAAACACTGGGCGGAAATTTGCAGGCACCTTATCACACATTATCTCAACAAACAAATAAACTCTGCCGTGAATGGTCATTCTTTGATGGCTGTCACTAACTGACTTTCCTGCAACTTGATTGGTACCATCAAAAAATCGTTATGAGAAGTGAACAACTACATCTTTTTGTCAGGCGTGTGTTGGGTTTGGAGCACCACGGAGGGCGCAACTCACGTGACCTCGTCACGATCAATACTGAGAATTCGCAAAGTTCATGCCTTCTTGCAATGAGTTCCAATAATATTTATTTTGGTGGTCATGGTAACACCATCAATCAAAGCCGTGTTTGCATTGTCGGCAAAAATCACAGACCGTTTTTAACAAGATCATAAACACTGGGCGGAAATTTGCAGGCACCTTATCACACATTATCTCAACAAACAAATAAACTCTGCCGTGAATGGTCATTCTTTGATGGCTGTCACTAACTGACTTTCCTGCAACTTGATTGGTACCATCAAAAAATCGTTATGAGAAGTGAACAACTACATCTTTTTGTCAGGCGTGTGTTGGGTTTGGAGCACCACGGACTGCGCAACTCACGTGACCTCGTCAGGTGAAATAAGATATACTATTGTTGTACCTCAGCATTAGTGGAATGGCACGTAACAAGTGGATACTGCAGAAACATATTTTCGGCAAATCGTTTTTATATTTTTCAAAAATTCTGCCAAGAAAAAGCATTGAAGACTATACAAGAAACATTAATTTGTTTCTAGGGATTACATTTATACAAACCAAACAAATTAAGGAGATATTGACATAGAGTCAAAAACAATTTACATATCATACCATTGTTTGGTGTAAGCCATGTGACATAGGGATCTGGTACTCCGGTTACTGTACATGTCATGGTTACTGGAGATCCTGCTTCTACTGTATGGCTAACTGGCTCTGTTACAAAACTTGGGGCAACTAATGAGAAAAACAATATTTGTAAATACCGATAGATTATGATGAAAAAACTAGTAGAATAATAATCTCAAGTAATATAACCCTTTTCAAACATCATGCACTTGATGAATATTCCTGTGCAATTAATGGTAAGTATGGGTGAATGTAAATACAAAGTTAAAATCTGACGTTCCAGATGTGATGTGCTGCTCAAATTTCAGTCGTACGGCCAATGGGTGGTCATATACATGATTTGAATGAACATGATTTAAAAAATATCATTGTCAAGCTTTTAACATGCCTAGTGGTCAACTACACAGTAAAATATTCTACAATATTCTTTACATTAGACAAATCCAGGTAAATTGTACATTGTACTGTTACAGTAGAGCGAATATGAATATTCCAGTCAGGAGAATTAATAATAATAATTTGATTGTATATCATGATGATGTGATATATGAAACATGATAATGATTATGATGATAATAATAATGATAATGATAATGCTGACTAATTGAGATAGTGGTGACAATGATAATGATATACCCCTGGTAATAGGTGAAATTTATATTGATAATGAGATCATGATGATAATGATGGGGATATTGATAATGATTGAATCAACGAGAGTGATAAGGTATCAACGGCTACATGCATGGAATACTTTACCTCGGCCAGAATTGCCAGCTATAAGATCAGAAATAAAAGGCGGGAAAAATCAAAATTGGATAAAAGATGATACAAATACTATATTTGCTATGGTTCAAACTACATCTCTATCGGAAGTGCACATAATTATAACATCCAATGTACACTAGATTATTAAAATATACCATGCAAACGTCTATTATTGACCTAATTACATGCACTTCTAACGGATAAAATAGAGGATTGAAAACTCCTCTCCTAATAGAAAATTCATGCAAATTGAAAACTTTGTAAGATTTTTATAAACTTTCATATAAAATATAAAACACATTGCAGTACAAGTTCTGATAAAATATTAAGTGTCAACGATTGAGCATTATATTGCTTTATTTTTGAAATAGCATTTATGACCAATAATGCAAAAATATGTAAGTAATATAAACCCTTAAACAGTTTGCTACTGGAAGATTTTGAGTTTGTGATAAAAACATTTCATGAAATTTACCATGACTCCTTGCTTCAAAAACAGCAGCTATAGAATTTTCTATAGGTAGCGCCCTCTAGTGTTTACCAGGAGATTGGTTAAAGCAATGTCATAGACGACTTTCCCAAAAGTAGAAGATAAGGCATTTTGCATGCGCGCACATGACGTTTTGGGGTGTAACATAAACTTGTATGCGTGATATTGTTCTTCTGGGTGTGCCAATCGGCGTCACAAAAATAAATTTCCTTCTATCGACTATAAGCAGACTGAAATGTTTGTATTTTCAGCTATGACAAAGCAGGAGTATTTTTGCACCGCAGCCTCGCTACTTCCGAGAAAGTCGTCTATTCATAAAATATCAAATCTCTTTTAAAAATGTAAACAAAAATCAATTTTTTACAGCAACTGTATGATCCTTGTTTGACCATCGTCCTATCATAATTAATTAATTAATTAACGCACTATCCTGGCATCAACCAGGCTTTGTCCACCACAAGCACCTGAAGAACTCAATTCTTACACAGTATGTAACAAAGGTTCCCTTGAAGTTGCATTAATTGATGAATGCATTGCGACCATTTTTATCGTACATGACTAAATCAAAACATTGCCTTGAACCTTCCTTTCACTTATTTACATCACAAGAAGAGCTTCATGTCTAGAGGGCACGACTTAGAAAAATGCTGTATTGTAGATGAATGGTCATAACTTAATGTAAAATACTTTTTTTAGCTGGAATAAATTTTTGCTGAAAAGACATTTAGGATTTTTTTGTATGGAATTTATTTTCACTGATTTATGGCGATAGTAAATAAAGTATATTCGCTAGATTTTATTTTTACCGAATCATCCCCTCAGCAAAAATGATTTCCAAGCAAAAATAAAGTATTTTACAATACCTTGCACATTGAGTCGTACTGCAGCAGTAACAGTGCCGTGGATATTACTGGCACTGCACACATATATGCCACTATCTGATAGTTCAATGTCTAAAATCCGTAACCATCCAGGCGCAGGTTCCTCAGTTCGTCCTTCTGGTAAATTACTATTTTGCTACAAGAAAACATAAAAGTGTGACTGGTTGGTTGTCATGATGAAAATATGTTGACAGTAAAAGCTGTACAAGATGTGAAATGATTTGCATATCATTCTATATTTACATATAATTATAATATATTTGCATATCATTAACACTTATTTGCATATCAAGAAAACATAAAAGTGTGACTGGTTGGTTGTCATGATGAAAATATGTTGACAGTAAAAGCTGTACAAGATGTGAAATGATTTGCATATCATTCTATATTTACATATAATTATAATATATTTGCATATCATTAACACTTATTTGCATCCATTAACACTTATTTGCATATCAAGAAAACATAAAAGTGTGACTGGTTGGTTGTCATGATGAAAATATGTTGACAGTAAATGCTGTACAAGATGTGAAATTATTTGCATATCATTATATATTCACATATCATTATCATATATTTGCATACCATTAACTCTTTATTTGCATATCAAAGAATGAATTTACCAATTTTAACATGTATGTAACGGGGTCTAAAAGATAACTCTGCAACGCGATTGTGCGACTCGCCGAATGTCGATTATTGCACTCTGCAAAAGGATCGCAATGACATTCTGCGAAGAGCACAATTCCCATTGGTTGGTTGGTCAAAAAGTGCGAATCCCAATGGTCGATGCCCGTAATATTACTTCTCATTTACAGTGTAAGGATTCACCGCATGCCTTACAAATTAAGTTTTAAATGGTAAAAATGATACGGTAAAAAAAGTGTGTAAACACTATGTACCGGCGACATGACGCACTGTTCGGTGATCGGCAAGCACATGGAAGACAAATTGTGGGGCCGAAAAAATGACACATGGTTTACAATGATTTGACACATCACACCGCTGGCTAGAAAAGTTAAACAGTGTAACGTGCACCTTGGTGTTGACTGCCTATTTACGGTGTAACGTTATCGCCATCTTGGAGTTGTAAGGCTTCGTCCTGATGACTATGCTCATTAGCATAGGCGGCAGCTTCAAAGTGCGTGGAACGCGAAGTACTTTTCACGCGTTCTGCAACGAATGTTGTATGCCAACTTTGACTTTGTGCATCAAGGAAAATAATTTGCATGCAGTGAAAAAAAATCATTCACGATGTGCAACGTTTTGCCATGACAGCAGTTGTTTCAATGTTTGCAATCATCTGCCTTCGTTTAGATCATAAACGGACTCCAAACTTGTGGTCTACGATCGATCAGCTGGTATTTTAACCACCGGAAATGAAATACTTTGTAACAGTTGTGAAAAGTAAACAAAAACGGCATTGGTTTGTGGTATGAATGTAATTATTTTTGTATCATAATTTATATCGTAAGTCAGTATTACTGAAAATTATGGTTTATTTTTTTAAATGAAAGCCAAATTTCGGTGGTCCATATTGATCTTAATGTAGCGGGAAGGGAAATTTTTATTTTATTTTTTTTTTCTTGATATTTCAATAATTGATAAAACGATAATTGATTCATCATCCCAGCTTTTCCAAATTTCGGAAAGACCAGTGCTCAAACGCTAACACTACTACCGTTTCGTTATTATTTGCATAATGTTTATAACATGTATATGTGTACTACTGGTAATACTCTGTTGTTGACGATTCTGATAGAACGAATGACAAGCTTCCTGTCGCAAATAATGCATAATAATCTAACGTCCATTTATTGTCAGTCAAGACTTTGTCTGAGAAATCGTTTTATTTTCTAAGTCTATATTCTATTTTAATAACACCATCTTACTAACGCAATGACGATAAAAAGAAAGAAAGCAAAGACGCCAATGACAGACAAGGCAAAGAAAAATTCGCAACTCCGGGTCATATTTACTAATTTAGACTTGCCTGCAGCCTGTTGTGATTCCAATGAAAAATTACAGGACTTTCGTTTTCACCCCTCGTTTACGCAATTTATATTTATTTTTCAAGACTTTTTCATCAGAATCGCAACAGACTGCAAGCATGTCTAGGTCATATTATGACCAACCTCGGGAGTGGTTCGAAAGGGACGATTAGGCTGAAATATTCGCATCAACGCGAAAGAGTTTCAACTACTTAACCGATGACGACACCGATACGCGAGACCGTTGAGTTCCAGTGATCAGACGAGGAAGTGAGTACAGGAAATCTGTTGCTCGTCGACATCGGCCAAATAAACAAAGCCATCGTTTCCGTTTATGCGGAGAGCGTGCACCCATCTAATTTCCCTTTGACACTGCCGTTTTAGTTTTCTATCTTCAGCAGTAGTTTCAATTCATTCACACAGCTTTACGTTTTTTTTCTCTTTTAATATTCTTAATAAAATGATATTGATTGCCTAGAAACAGGTTGACCCGCTACACGCTTCATTTGGGAGTTCAAAGGGATGAATACAGTCATAACAAATTAAACTTGCTAATGACAAAAAAAGAACGCAACATCGTGTGAAAAGTACTTTACGCTCTACTTGCTTTAAAGCTGCCGCCTATGCTAATGAGCACAGTTGCGGACGAAGCCTTACAACTTCAAGATGGGGTTAATGTTAGCAGCTCCTTGATGTTACACTGTAATAAGGCAGCCAACACCAACGTGCATGTGTTTTGTAACCCCTTTCATTCCCTTCGGGGATGTTATATATGTTAATAAATAAATGTTAAATGCTTGCTGATTACCGAACAGTGCGACATGGTGTCAGTTAATACTTGTTCACCGTAGTTCGCGAGCAGTCGGCGAAATAACAATTTAAAACTGAACATTTCTATAAGGCATGTGGTGTACCCTTACATCGATCGACCATTGGGATTCGCGCTTTTCGACCAACCGACCATTGGGAATCATGCTCTTCGCAGAGTGACACTGTGATCCTGTCACAGAGTGCAATAATCGACATTCGGCGAGTCGCACAATCGCCTCACAGAGTTAGTTTTTAGACCCCCATACATACCTCATCATAAGCATGCATTTGCATGTTGTTTACATACATTTGCATATGATATTCCTTCGTCACATGTGCATGCGTCAGATGGCCATAGCGTGTCATTGTTTACAAACAGGCGCCTACCCATGAGCTTTTTCATTTTTCGTGTGTGTTGTTATCGTCACTTGGGACTCAATTCCCGTGTGTGCGCAGGTGACGACAGCCCCGCTTTAAATACCAACAGGTTATTAGGTTCTGATTTGGCAATGCACCACAGAAGATGTGGAGTGACATCAAAACAAGAATACGAGAGAAGTCGGCCAATCGCCAAGTCGGCCTGCAGGAGAAGTCGGCCAGTCACCAAGTCGGCCTGTCGGAGATGTCGGCCGGGCGGAGAAG